TTTTTTTTTTCTTACCTAAACTGTAGGAACTGTAAAGAGTGCTAGGGTCTCTTCTGCCTCAGACAATGTACCTCCTGGCTTAGACAGCATGAAAATACCATCAGAGACATCTTAAGACATGGAAGAAAGAATTTAGAAACAAAACAAAAATAAAGTAGAAAGAAAATTAAGGGGAAAAGGCAAAATTAAGTACATTAAAATGAAAACCATAGTAGAAATTAATAGCCTAAAAGTAGAATTTTTCCCTTTTTTTGAGACTTGAGTTTCACTCTTGTGCAGAGTCCCATGGCCTCAGCCTTAGCTCACAGCAACCTCAAATTCCTCAGCTTAAGCAATCTTCTTGCCTCAGCCTCCCAAGTAGCTGGAACTACAGGTGGCCACCACAATGCCTGGCTAATTTTTTTATTTTTCATAAAGATGGGGTCTTGCACTTGCTCAGGCTGGTCTCAAACTCCTGAGTTCAAGCAATCCTCCCACCTCAGCCTCCCAGAGCACTAGGATTGTAGATGTAAGCTACTGTGCCTGGCCTAAAAGGAGGATCTTTGGAAGACTAGTGAAACAGATAAATCACTTTATTATGAGCATGATTAAAACAAAGCAGAGAGAAACAAAATTTGTCCTGGACTTCTCAAATGCAGCAAGACAAAAGCAAATGAAGTAAGTGATACAAGGTTTGGAAAATGAGAGCTCAAAAAGCACATCTCTTTGCTTATAATAGAATTGAAAAAACTTTCCCTGTAAAACTTCTAGCATTAGTAAGACACTGGTAAGGTAGGTAGATGCAAGCTCTTTTATCTATTTAGCAAAAGACATGCAGAAGTAAACATTTTCCATTCATGGGGGGAATCTGTGCAATATTGCAAATAAGTATAACAAATACTTTCATAAGTGAATAACCACCATAGAGGAGATTGCTTCCTGAAACACTTCCACATTAACTTTTAAAGGAAGGATATGTCTTCTAAAAATTCCTCATACTAGGCCAGGCACAATGGCTCATGCCTGTAATCCTGGCACTTGGGAGGCAAAGGCAGGTGGATTGCCTGAGCTCATAGTTTAGAGACCATCCTGAGCCAGAGCGAGACCTCATCTCTAAAAATAGCTGTGTGTCATAGCAGGCGCCTGTAGTCCTAGCTACTTGGGAGGCTGAGGCAAGAGAATCGCTTAAACCCAAGAGTTTAGGGTTGCTGTGAGCTGTGACGCCATAGCACTCTACCAAGGGTGACAAAATGAGACTCTGCCTCCAAAAAAAAAAAAATTCCTCATACTGCTGCTCATGCTATTTTGTTCTTGCTGCTCTTGGGTGGAAGGATATAGGAAACCTTGTATTCACTTACACCCGTGGGCCACAAGTAGGGCAAACAATACACCACCCTGTGAAAGAACAAGCCCACCTGGCTGCCACCACCTGGGGTGATAAATGGTTGGTACAGTTTGAACAGCATGTAACTAAATACAGAGTATAAGCAGTGTTTGGCAGAATTTTACCATATTTGACGTCTGTTGAGACCCTGATGACTCTTATGTCTTTAGCCTACGATTCTTTTTCTTCTGGATGTTCTTTTTGACCCTTACGTCCACTCATGTAGCCTTAGAGAGAACCTTCCCCGACGGCACAAGATCTATGCAGACCTTTGTGCAAATTAAGGAGGGATATTCTTCTAGACTAGTGAATTGGGGAAGGCACCTTCTAGTGCCACTTCTAGTGCTAACTTTCAGCTGTCAGCTAAAGTCATCATCTGATTTTTTTTTTTAGACAGAGCCTCAAGCTGTCGCCCTGGGTAGAGTGCTGTGGCATCGCAGCTCACAGCACCCTCCAACTCCTGGGCTTAAGCGATTCTCTTGCCTCAGCCTCCCAGGTAGCTGGGACTACAGGCATCCAGCACAATGCCTGGCTATTTTTTGGTTGTAGTTGTCATTGTTGTTTGGTAAGCCCAGGCTGGATTTGAACCCACCAATGCTAGTGTATGTGGCTGGAGCTTTAGCTGCTTGAGCTATAGGTGCTGAGCCCATCATCTGATTTTTTTAAGTTGTTAGCTGATAAGTCTTGGTACATAGCACCAAGACATTAGATAATTTTAAATTATCTAGTATTTGTCTTTAAAATCTAGTCATGAGATGGTCAAGGCAGGTGGATTGCCTGATCTCAGGAGTTTAAGACCAGCCTGAGCAACAGAAAGAGACCTCATCTCTAAAAAGAAAATGGCTGGGCATTATGGTGGGCACCTGTTGTCCAGCTTCTTGGGAGGCTGAGGCAGGAGGATCACTTGAGCCCAGGAGTTGGAGGGTGCTGTGAGCTGTGACACCGCGGCATTCTACCTGGGTGACAAAGTAAGACTCTATGTCAAAAAAAAAAAAAAATCTAGTCATGGATAAGTCAGACCTGTGTGCTAAAAACCCCATCTCACCATAGCAGGGTCCTGGGCAAAGCCTGTACCCAACTCTGCATCACAAGCCTGGCAGCTCCTCACCACTGTCATTGTCTGTGTGAGACCAGCACACCTTCAGAGCGCAGGGAAGGAACTAAGAGGCCAATTTGGCTCCATATATTGTTTTTTATTTTGTTTTGTTTTGAGTCTCACTATGTCACCCTCGGTAGAGTGCTATGGTGTCAGAGCTCACAGCAACCTCTAACTCTTGGGCTTAAGTGATTCTCTGGCCTCAGCCTCCCAAGTAGCTGGGACTACAGGCACCTGCCACACACCCAGCTCTTTTTTGTTGCAATTGTCATTGTTGGTTAGCTGGGCTGGGTTCAAACCCACCCCCCTTGGTGTATGTGGCTGATGTGGTAACCACTGTGCTATGGGCACCAAGCCGCCCACACTTGTTTGTTCCTTTGTCTCAACACAGTAGGCTCAGACCCGGAGTTTGCACGCTATGTGGCAGGAGTGAGCCAAGCCATGCAGCAGAAGCGACAGACCCAGCATGGTCGTCGTCCAGGCAACGCCCGGGGAAACTGGCCACCCATGGATGATGCCCATCGGACCTGGCCTTTCCCAGAGTTCTTCACAGAAGGGTGAGTGCTGAGTGCATCGGGGAAGGTGAGTTTGGGGCTCAAGTGTCCTCCATGGGTCCTGTGAGAAGAGACGTCTTGGCATCTGTGCCTTTTTACTGGGCAATCCAATTTTAAGCCTAATCATGGGAGTGTGACAGGTGGTTCAATCTTCACAGATCAGAGTTTCATGACTGACTATAAGATGCCAAGTGGCATGATGTGTACTTGTGAACGTACCATTGGTATAAATTCATGATTTTCAGGACAAATTCTCAGCCCTAGGCGAGGATATTATTTGATGGTGTTTGTAAAGCATTGGCATGTTTAATACAAGTCTTTATACCGAAATGAGTGTGGCTGTGAAATGCACATGATGTATGGAATGCTATGAGCATAGCCTATAAAAACCAAAGTTATATGGTTCAGATTCAGTATGCTGAGAGAATTGTGGATTTTCATCATAAACAAAACTGGAGATTTTTCACGTTTCATATTGCTACTGGTTAATAAATCTGGATGAGTAAAGACCTTTTCAACTTTTTGTTTTCTCTAAAATAAATTTCATACACAAACTACGGACTTCTTAGAGGAATAGAGGGAAGTGATGACTATGTATTACTTTTGAAATAAGGGAAAGGAAGAAACCTTAAGTTTTTAGAAGGGAGAGACAGACCACTGTTCGGTTATGAGATGAGCAAAAGGTAAGGACTATTCTTTTAGGGCTGGAGTGGAGGGTAGAGGCTGGCCTCAGGTCTGTCCAGCCAGTGTCCAGGCTGGCTGCAAGAGGCCCTGGACCATCTTCTCTCTTTGGCTTTCAGGGATAGCCTGCACAGCGGCTGGTCAGGTGCTCAGGGAGACTCAGCCAGCTCGAGTGATGAGACATCTTCAGCCAATGGGGACAGCTTGTTCTCCATGTTTTCAGGGCCTGACCTCGTTGCTGCTGTCAAACAAAGAAGGTATGAAGAGATTTCTAAACCCAGGGGGGAAGAAAAGGAAATAGGAATCGCTTACTTCTCTGGGAAAGTCAGGATCCCAGTCACTCCCAGTCCACCTTGCGTGATAAGGTTCTTCTCGTGCCTGCTGAAGGCCTCTAAGGGGCACCTTCAGGAAGTGTTTTCTACAAGGCAGAGCTGGCCTCATCTTGTGCGGTCTCTTGGGGCCACTGCACAGGCTTGCAGCCCAGCTAATTGGACGTTAGGTTGAGTTTTTGCTGGCAGAACAGTCCCACGGTAGTGAAACACACCAGTATGATAGGTAAGAAAGGATTCAGGAGAAGGGTCTGCTGCTGCTGGTCTGTGCCTTGCAGGAGGCAGCCCTTTCTGTGGAAGGAGCAGGACCAGGACAACCACATTCTAATTTGGACTCATCAACAGGCTCTGGAACCCTAGCTGATGGCCTGACCCTCAGTGTCTTTGTCATAGGTGGTACTGGATAAAATGAACTCTGAATGGTATTTCTAAGTTGAATATGGAAGTAATATAGGGCGGTGCCTGTGGCTCAAAGGAGTGGGGCGCCAGCCCTGTATGCCAGAGGTGGTGGGTTCAAACCCAGCCCTGGCCAAAAACTGCAAAAAAAGGAAGTAATATAGCATATTCAGATCTAAGAAGGGGTCAAAAGTAGTCACAAACGTTAAAGTGAGCCCTGAACTGAGAGAAGAGTTTGGTTAGAAAGAAGAGCCAGACTGCTGTGGATATGAGGAAGAGCAATCTGAAAGTGGTAGACGGGCACTTGGGCAGGAATAGAGAGCATACAGGCTCCCTTGGGCACCAGAGATCACACTGGGAGTGGGAAGGGAGGCCTGGTTACACAGCTCTGTGTGACAAGGTCACTCTTCTTTGGACAAGCAGTGAGGAACAGGTAGGTGAAGTTGGAAGGGCCGTGAGTTAGAACACATGGCGCAATAATGGGAGTGATGACAGTGATTGAGCACTAGTCCAAGTTGGGGTATTTGCTGTCGGCCAGGCCCCAGACCAGACTTTTTCTATATATTTTTTCCACTTAATTCTCATAACAACTGGATTCATTTGCTAGGTCTGCCATCACAAAGCACCACAGACTGGGTGGCTTAAGCAATAAGTATTTATTTCCTCATCGTTATGGAAGCTGAAAGTCAGAGGTCAGATATTGGCAGGGTCAGTTTCTTCTCCTTGGCTTGTAGATGGCCACTTCTCCCTGTGTTTTAACTGGCCTTCCCTCAGGGGATCTGTGTCCTGATGTTCTCATAACTCTTAACTGGATTAGGGCTCAGCCTGATGACCTCATTTTAGCTTAATTACCTCTTTGAAGGCCCAGTCTTTAAATAGGCTCATGTTCTGGGGCATAAGGGGTTAGGGTTTCAACATATGGATTTGGAGGGTACAGTATTTAACCCGTAACAACCGCCTTATTAGTCCTGTTTTATCCCCAACTTATAGGTGAGGAAACAGGAGCTCACATAAGTTAGGTCCATTCATTCATTTGGTGGCACCTGTCACCTGCCAGGCACTAGTGGTATAGGAGCAAACAAAGCACAGTCCTCTTCCTTGTGGAACTTACATGAGAGAAGGCAGATTAAGAGAAAGCAAAACATATTAAACACGTTGGGTTGGTTGCTAGGTCAAAAATAAAGCAGGGTGTGAGGGTAGAAAATACAGGGACTGGTGGATTTTCTGTTCTCAGAAGGGTGGCCAAGGAGGCCCCTGAGGAACAGAAAGCTGAACAAAGTGAGGGAGGAGCTGGCAAGGAACTGGTAGCTGGGTACATACGAGAGGATGATGCACACATTGTCAGCCTGAGCTTGTGTGTATGTAGGGCTGCTGTGAACTGAGATGGGGGACTACAGGAAGACCAAGTCTGAGCCAGGGTGGAGGTTAAGACTTCTGTTTTAGACACGGTTAATTAGATGTCTAAGAAGTCACCTGTAATACCACTTCTGCAGAGACAGCCATCTCAGCAGGGGTCCTCAAACTTTTTAAACAGGGGGCCAGTTCACTGTTCCTCAGATTGTTGGAGGGACAGACTGTGGGTCCTGGGACAAGTCGGTTGCTAAGCAGGACAGGCAGCGGTGGCAAAAACACCCAGTGGGCCGGATAAATGTCCTTGGCAGGCCACATGTGGCCCACGGACCATAGTTTGAGGATACCTGTCATACAGGAATGCTGGCTCTGATCCTGCTACATCCTGCCTGTTTTATTCAATGTTGTAACAAACTTCATGTTATTAGTAAAACAAATGAGTTTTTGTTTTTCGTTTTTTATTTTTTGAGACAGAGTCTCAAGTTGTGACCCTCGGTAGAGTGCTATGGTGTCACAGCTCACAGCAACCTCAAACTCTTGGGTTTAAGCCATCTTCCAGCCTCAACCTCCCAGGTAGCTGGGACTATAGGCACCCACCACAACACCTGCTATTTTTTGGTTATAGTTGTCATTATTGTTTGGTGGGCCCGGGCTAGATTTGAACCCGCCAGCTCCAGTGTATGTGGCTGGCACCCTAGCTGCTTGAGCTGTAGGCACCAAGTCTGAGCTTTTGTTTTTATGTCACTTATTGCCAGTAAGTGGTAAACAGTCAGTAACTGTTGAGTAAACCAACAAAAAGCCAAAGGTGGTGACCTCAGAGCAACTGATAGAAGCCTGTCTTCATGGCTGCCACACCCCTGCCTGACCCCCTTGTGCTGGCTTTGCAAGAGTGCACCAGTCAGTGCCACCTAGAACCAGGACACAGAGACACCAGGGCCAAGCAAATAGGGAGTCCCTGGAGGTAGGTTGGGAGGAAGTGGGTGATCACCACTCTGAGCTCTTTGTTCCTTCAGGAAACACAGCAGCGGAGAGCAGGAGACCAGCACGCTGCCTTCGCCACCTCTCATTGCAGCAGCTGAGGACATGAACCAGGTATTGTGGGCTGGCTCTGCAGGTGCAGACCACGGGCAAGGTTCCATAGCTCTTAAAGAGGTCCTTGAAGTTAGGAGGAGTCTTCCTTGTAGCGAACAAGTTTTCTTTTCATGATTTTTTCTAAATGATTGGCCAACTCAGCTAAGAACCACACATACAGGAGGCTGTAGGGCTGTGCCATCTAATAGCCATTTGCCCCATGTGGCTAAATAAATCTAAATTAAATATAAATAAAACTTGAGCTCCTCCGTTGTACTGGCTATCTATGGTGAGCGGCTACTGTACTGAGCAGCGCAGGCACAGAAGGTGGCTGTCATTGCAGAAGCAGTGCAGGCACAGAAGGTGGCCCTTTTGGACAGGCCTGTGGGGTAGGGGTGGTGCTGTCCCTGCCTTCTAGCTGGGACTGAGGGCCAGAGATCTGGGGAGATGGGAAAAGATAAAGCACCAGAAATGCCACTAAGACCTCTCTTCTGTTTCTCAGGATAACAAAACCAAAACATGGCCTCCCAAAGCACCCTGGCAACATCCCTCCCCGCTGCCCGGCACACTGCCCAGCCCGAGCGCATCACTCTATGCAGTTGCCAGCCCCAGCAGCCAGTGGACCGACACCATGCAAATGCTGCAGTCCCCAGTATGGGCTGCGACCAGTGACTGCAGCACTGCCTCCTTCACCTATGTACAGACCCCACCACAGCCCCCAGCGCCCCCTGCACACAAGGCGGTGCCCAAGGGCTTCAAAGCTTTCCCCGGGAAGGCTGAGCGCAGGCCAGCTTACCTGCCCCAGTATTGATGCAGGACCAGCCTGCTATGTGCGGAGAGCTATTGGGGTGAGTGTCCCTGCCCCAGGGCCAGCTAGCTGATACCAGTCCCCCCAGAGGACCAGTATACCTCCATCCTAGGGAAAGTTCCTTGGAGACAGGGGAGGTTGGCAGCTCTAAGACTTTAAAGCCTGGCTTCTCAAACTTTGGAAGTATCAGATCCCCGGAGAGCTAGCTGTAAACAGATTTCTAACCCTCAGGGGGACGCTGGAGAATCTGTGTGCTTAGTAAGCACCTCAGGTGATCTGATGCAGGCAGCCGCCAGCCATACTTTGAGAAACACAGCTTTGGGGTTTTTAGTCCTACTGTGTGTTGGGAAGGCATCAGGCCTGAAGGCTTAGAGCAAAACTGACCATTTTTCTGCAGACTTGTTCTTCTCTTTCTTAACACTTTGAGTGATGACCACACCAATCACTGTATTTTATACCTATTTTTTCATTTAGGTTTTTAGTTAAAACATCTCCTGCCTAACATGCAGTGAATATTTTAAGATAACAGATATACCGGCTGGGGGTTTGTTCAGCACTGTTGTTATGTAAGCTTGTATAAAATGAGCAACATATACAATATTTGTGATCAGAAGGAGTCACCTGGGTTTCCTGTGGGCAGGCAGCTCCTTGCCACCCCAGTAGTACCCAGGGAGTGCAGTATTTACCGGATTTACAACAGCAAGATTGTCAAATTGGTGTCCAAGGCATACTGCCGAAGGTGCATGGAGATGAGCCAGCTGGCTGCTGTCCATGTGCAGAGGAAAGCTGTGCTCTGCCCCAGAGCATGGGGGCATGGTCAAGGGCTACACAGACACACATGCACTTGAAATTACAGTAACATTTTGGAGGTGGCTCAGAAGACAAACCAATTAAGATGTAGATAGAAATTAATTTAAAGTCTTTTCTTTAAAAAAAAAATCCACCTTGGGCGGCGCCTGTGGCTCAGTGGATAGGGCGCTGGCCCCATATACCGAGGGTAGAGGGTTTGAACCCAGCCCCGGCCAAACTGCAACCAAAAAATAGCCGGGGGTTGTGGTGGGTGCCTATAGTCCCAGCTACTTGGGAGGCTGAGGTAAGAGAATCACCTAAGCCCAGGAGTTGGAGGTTGCTGTGAGCTGTGACGCCACGGCACTCTACCAAGGGCAATAAAGTGAGACTCTGTCTCTTCAAAAGAAAAAAAATCCACCTCATTTTCAGTTAACATGTGCCATTAAATAGGGTAGCATCCTGTGGATTTAGGGGTATTTTCCAGCCAGAATGGATCCAGAAGAATTGAATGGTGCTTAAATTGAGAAATAATAATAAATATATATCTATATAGAATAGACATATCCCACTGTATATTAATTGAGGTTACAGAAAGTTCTTTATATAAAACTTATTTAAATTTTTCATATTTCATCTTTGAAAAAAGTCTAATTGAGAAAAATCCATAATATTTTCTGGTATGAAAGTTTGACAGTATTAATATTTTTTTTTATATTTTCTTAAATCATTAAACCATTTTAATATATGTTAACTAATAATAAATGGTTTATTCTTTCTAGCTCCATATAAGCTTTTCCAGCAGATTGTAATAACACATTTATGTTCTCATTTTTCTACAGATATAAGTAAATTTATATTTAAAAATACCAAAAAGAATAAATATATATATATGTATGTACACACACGCACACACAACACTACTTACAGCGGCAGACCCTTAGGATGTCTGAGCCCAGCCCCCTGAGTTCTTAGTACTGTGTAGTCAGGCTGTCTCCAGGCCTGGGTTGTCCTTTTTGCTGTGTGGGATGCCATTGCTGCCTGTATTTATGATCTTTCACCGTGGATTCTGAGCATTCATTCACCTCACCCTGTTTACAGAGAACTGTTTTGTACATAGACTTCTTCAGGCACGTGCTTTGCACCAACCCTGTGTGGCCCTCGTCCGTGTTAGCTGTCACAGTGTACACACTGGTCACTGTTAAAGTTGTTTGTGGCTGTTTCACTTGTAATATAGTTTTCTGTTCCCTTCAGTAATATGTCCACAATACCCTGTATTTCAAGTTCTGTTATACTAAAGTACTCTTGTTTTAATAGTGCCTCCCCAAAGACCTCACCTTGGACAGAGGTCAATCTTTGATGCCCCAGCGCAATTGACATTGCTAATTGTCACTTTCCAGTTTGTTCTTCTCTATTAAGGAAGACATTTTATAATTGCATCTCCATAGGAGGTGAGACTGAAGTTGTTTGTGTGGTCTCTATGTAGGTGCTGTGTCCCCAGCACCACCTTGCTCTGAACACTGGTAATTCCAGGTGCTGCGCTCGGCAGAGGGGTCTTGCCCAAGCGCGTGTGTGTGTTTGTGTGTATGTGAGTGTGTGTGTCCTTTGCATGGCCGGGTGTGGCTGCCTTGCTCGGGCATCAGCAGGACATGGTGTGAATAGTTCAATGCTTCCAAACTGGAACTCTACATTTTGTATCTTTCTTTTAAAGCTCCTATAAGTAAAATAACTATTGGCTTTATTAAAAATATACATTTAATAATACTTTGTATCTTTGTGTAACATGAGCAGCAGCAGACATGTCAGAAGCCCTGCCTAACTCATTACTTTGAAAAGCTGCACATGACTTGGTTTTTAGGTCAGCTTGTTCCCTGATTCTGAGCCCTAGCAAGAGGGAAGTTCACTTGGGACATTAAGGTGAGCCTGAATGGATGAGCAAGAAGCAGAACTACCAGCCAGACCTGGTACATCGCCTTCTCTAAGGACATAGACGGTTTAGGCCTGTACACAGATGGAGCCCCTGTAGTAGTGAGGGAGACTGTCTCCTCCTGGAAGGATGCAAGCTCTCTCTGTGGGGCAGGATCTGCCAGTACCCACATCCCACCAAATGTGGGTGCTGTGTGACCTGCCCAAGAAGCAGGCTCATGACTTGCTTCATCCTCTTCGTACAGCAGAGACCCAGTGTGTGGCAGAGAGATCCTGCCTCACAGGCATAGGAAGGACCTGTCCACTGGGTAATGCATTGTGCTAAGCAGAAGGAGACTGTATCATGAGAACCAGAAATGGAGTTGGGTTACAGGGGAATTTCAGCTCATTCCAACAGCACTTTGTTGAAACTTTTATTCATGAACTTAGGGAAATGGAGTAACGTGAGCATTAATATATAACCTATGAGTGTAAGTACCACCTATAGTTTCTTTCTGTTGAGATGCCTGAAGTTGAGCATGGGGAACAAGTTCCAGAACCTTCCAAATGCACTTTAGGGCACGGTTGCTTAGTAACAGCCATGCTGCACAAATGTGCTAAGGAATACACTGGAAATTTAAATTAAAATGCTAGCAGGAAGAAGTACATATTTTATTCCAGTGTGTTCCCATGTGACACAGCACCTGGTGCTGTTCACTGGCTTTCACTCAGAACAGTGATGGAGACAGAAGGAGTCCTGTCCCCCAGCCATGCCCTGGGTGGGTGGGGACAGAGTAAGAACAGAAGTTAGAACTGAGCTCCCAGAGCAGTGGTTCTCAACCTTCCTAATGTCACAGCCCTTTAATACGACCCCAATTCCTGTGGGTCGCAACCCACAGGTTGAGAACTGCTGTCCTAGAGGGTCCTTGGAGGCCCCAGTCCCATCTGAGAAATAGAGGGGGACACAGGCAGTGGAGGTGAGGCTTGTGACCCCTCCTTTCCCACTTAAGGGCTACCAGCATGGGGGTAGAGGGCATAGCTGAAATGCCACATGCCATGGGCAGTGCCTGTGGCTCAAAGGAGTAGGGCACTGGCCCCATATACCAGAGGTGGCGGGTTCAAACTCAGCCCCTGAAAAAAAAAAAAAGAAATGCCACATGCCAGCCATGTGGCTTTGAGGGGGTGGCCTTCAATGCAGGAGACAAAGAGGAAATAAACCATTCCCAGCAGTCCACTCACCAACTGCTAAATAGCCATGTGTGTGCACAGCATGATTGGCTGCCTCCAGAAAACACATACCTGCACTTCTGAGGAACCTCCAGGGGCAGGCTCCAGAAGTAACACGTGCACTGGCCTTAAATTGCACATGGGTAGGCTGGCTGGGCCAGGCCTCTGCATGTCTGTGAGGGGCCTGGATGGGGCTTGTGTTGGAGTGTTGAGTTGGGGGTGCAGGCCCAGGTGAGGGAGAAGGATTGTTTCAGGTGCACCATCCATTTCAACATTTGCTAATGTCAGCTAGAGGCCAGGACTGCAAAGAAGATTCAGTCCCTGCCCATGAAACTCAGTCTTTTAAGGGAGACAACCTCATCTTCCCCGTATTTGGTAAGAAGACCACCATCCATCCACTCATTTGCTCAAGCTAAAATCCTGTAAGATATTCTTGATTCTTGGCTCGGCGCCTATAGCTCAACCGGCTAAGGTGCCAGCCACGTACACCTAAGGTGGCGGGTTCCAATCCCCAGCCCGGACCTGCCAAACAACAATGATGGCTGCAACCAAAAAATAGCCAGGCGTTGTGGCGGGCGCCTGTGGTCCCAGCTACT